CTGCTAAAGACTGTTAAACATGTCTGAAAAATATCTGATCTGGGACATATAGTAAGGGAAAGTCGATATAAAATTTTACAACTGATCCTTAATGGAAAAATAGAGCGTCGTAGAGGTGTAGGAAGAAAACAAGTTTCTTGGTTAAAAAACATTCGTGAATAGACTCAGATAACAAATGGAGGACAACTATTCCATATAGCAGAAGATCGAGAAGCCTTCGCAATGGTGATCGACAACGTCAGATAATTCTGATATGGCACGCGACGAAGAAAAATTAAGTCACACTATATAAAACATTAAAAATATGAATGCAAAATATTTTGTAATATTAATGACCGTGAATCATCTGACTCAGAATCAGAGTCCATCTCGTCATTTTCAGAGTCACTGTCACTATCGACACCTACTGGTTTTAGTAGGCCCTTGTTTGAACTATCAGATCAGCTCTTTTGGTATTGGATTGGATTCAATCAATTTATTTTTGTCCCCGGAATGCGAGATTTAATTTATGACATACCTTTTTGAAACACACAATATTTTCATGAAATTATCCCTTATTCTTCTTTTTATCTTTTTTATTCTTTTAATGTTATCTAAAACCGATTCGACGAATTGGCATTCGACTAAACGCAAGTCAGAACACGGTTTTATTTCAAATGTTGTTAACGACCAAAGATTTATGGTGTGATCGTTTTTCGCCTAGAGGTTAGCAAAGTCAATTTAGGGTTCAGACGACATTAAAAGGGCGGAGGCTCCGGCAATTGTCGGATATCCTGCAGTGTTTAAATTTGTGTGACCTTGAAATCGACAGGATATTGAATGCAAGTGACGGCTGCAAAATGTTTCTAACAGGTAGAAGGATGGCGATATTGTAAAGGGCCCAAATTTTAGAAAATAATTAAATACCATTTTGTAATACTATACTAATATTACAATATTAATTTATGAAAGATGTAATTTAAAGTAGTAGTTATTATAACGTCATCGGAGATATTCTGCAGACCAAAATGGTATGAATTTTTTAAATGAATAAGTTGATATGGTCTAAATTTCATCCTAGCTGCTGTCATCAATAGATACTCATCATCATTTGCGTCCCTTATTTTTGTCTATTGTGCTCTATATTGTGCAACTTTCATCCAATTTCTTAAGATTGTCAGTCCAACGAGTAGGGAGCCTTCCTCCACTTCTTTTATCTAATATCGGCCTCCACTCAACCAATCTCTTTGTCCACCTTTCTTTACTATTTCGGGCGATGTGTCCGACCAAGTTCCATTTGAGTCTGGCAATTGGGGAAATTACATCGGGAAGTTACATCCTGTTCTACGTGTTAAGTCTTCATTTCTAAACAAGTCGCTAAATATCTGTGACATTGAAGCACCTGCTGCATTACCAACAATGACAACGGCGGTGCAAATCGAAGCTAACGAATATGTCGAATCTTTAGAAAAGGTGGAGGCTGGGCCGTCTACATCTATGAAAGCAATTCGATCTACTTCAGCGGCCGTTTTAAACCACCGAAACGACCCCCTTCGCCATTACCTATAATGCCACCACGCCTTCTATTGGTAGATTTACTGGGAGAGGTAATAATTATATATTCATACTTTAGCTATAGTGTACTGTTTTTATTCTCATTTTAGACATTCAGGATATAAAAAGATTCGGAACAATTTACCAAGGTAACGTTGCTGAAGCGATCAATGCGATTGCATGTAAACGAAGTAGCTTTCGAAGGAGATGCATGGTTGCCATGTCAATAAAATAACTAAAAACATCAATAGAACTGTTATATCATTTCTTAAAAAAAAAGAATATTGATTTGGTGGCCAATAAGATCACCGCTGCAGCTTGACGAGCTACAAAATATCACTACAAAATTCGCCACGTGTGGTGAGGAGATTCGGAATTTTATCGGAATGTCGATTTATCTGTATCATAATCTCGAGAGCTACTCGATGTAGCGAAATATGTATCTGTAAAATAAATATAGACAAAAAGACATAAGATGCATTGAAAACTTGTACTGGCATCAAACGGCACAGTTAAAAATAGACAATTCTATATCCAAACCCATACATATAAGAAGAGGCGTTCGACAGGGATGTGTGCTTTCCCCTCTTTTATTTAACATTTATTCGGAAGCCATATTTCAAGAGTCTTCGGAGGATGCAGAGATGGGAATCAAGGTGAATGGAATATTGATCAACAACATACGATATGCTGATGATGGTGTCTTAATTTGTGACAACATAGTCGATCTTCAGCAACTTGTCACTATAATCGGAGAATACAGTAAGCGAATGAGATTAGAGATTAATACCAAAAAGACCAAATTCATGATCATCTCCAGAAACTTGGATGCACTTGAAAACTCCACCATAACACTGAATACTAAATCCATTGAAAGTGAGTAAATTTAAATACCTGGGATCGTGGCTTTTTGAAGACTGGGCATCGGACAGGGAAGTAAAATGTCGCATTGAGCAAGCTCGACAAGCTTTCGTAAAATTCAAGAAGGTACTGACTTGTTCAGAGTTTGATCTTCAACTGAGACTAAGGTTTACTAAGTGCTACGTATGGTCAGTGCTGCTATATGGCGTAGAGGGCTGGACACTCAAAACGAGGGATGTAAACAGATTAGAAGCTTTCGAAATGTGGCTTTATCGCGGTATCCTAAAAATACCATGGACAGCGAAAATCGCAAATATAGATGTCCTTAAAAGAATAAACCAAGAACGCCAACTTTTCGAAATCATCAAGAAAAGGAAAACGGCGTCTCTAGGTCACATCATGCGAAATGAAAAATACCAGTTCCTTCAACTTATAATCGAGGGTAAAATTGAAGGCAAGAGATTATTGGGATGCAAGAAAATGTCCTGGCTCCGAAACATAAGGCAATGGACAGGGATTAACGACATACAATCTCTGATACATATTGCAAGAAATAGAGAATTAATGGAAAATGTGATCGCTAACATCCATTAGTGGATTTGTATCTGAAGAAGAAAAAGAAGAAAATAAATATGTATATGAATATTGTATCTCGAAAAAAGCATTCGTCACCACTCGGAAGACAATGCCTGTAAAAAAGTTTATGGAAATAAAGAAACACTTATCGTTTCAATATGAAAGGCAGCGCATTCGAAAAAGTCAGCCTGGCTATGGTCCACTGTTTGGAATCCGGAAATTGGCTGATAAGGTCAACAATCGTTTGACAAAATTCAAGCATTGTCTTCGTCGATTTTTGTTTGTGATTCTCAAGGTTACGATATTGTTTTGAAATTTACAACGGTTCATGCGACAATATAATTCTTCCTGGTGCACCTGATCTTAGAAGCACATTAAACGTTGTTGTTCATTTGTCACAGACCATATTGAGCTTTTCTCATCACATCTTTTACTTCGACAATTTCTTAACATTTTTACCTTTGTTCACTTATTTGCATGCCAAAGGAATCTATAGCCTTGGTAAAATACGGACAAATAGAATTCCAAAGTGTAAGCTTCCATTGAATGAGTATATCAAATATGAAGAACGAGGATATTCTGTTTAGTATCTGCGTACGATGTTGATTTCAGTACAATTTTATGAAAAGATACCACGAATGTGCGGCTAGTATTGACTTCCGTTATCATTGAGCCGTTTTAGATAGCAAATCCAAAACAACATATTGCTAAATTATCACGATAAGATCAAAAGAAACAGAAATACATTGAAGTCAACTCTCCGCAGATCATTTGCAAGTGGAACAGACATATGGGAGAAGTCGATCTGATGGATGGAATAATGCGAAGACATATAGTACAATGGTTTGAATTTTCTACCACTTGATCGATATGTCTGGAACAAACGCTTATATTTTGCACGGTCGCATACATGCTAAAAAATGTAATGATTGGAGTAATATATCAGTGAAACGTGAGAAGTTGTTACAGCAACCAGAAGTCAGAGAACAAATTGATGCTGTTCTCGTTGTATTCAGTGACAAACGTGTAGTTGGCTGACCTTCAATATGAAAAGCACAATTGAGCTCACCGCCACCAATTACTTCTGGCATTGGAAATAAAAGCAAAAAATCCAATTGATGACATTCGCTTTGACAGTAGTGATCACTTTCCACTTTGGCTTAACAAAGAGGATGGTAAAAAAAATATTAATTTTGCAAAGTGCCAAAACTCAATGCGTGTTTAGCAAATGTAATCTTCATTTATGTCGTTGTAATGCCAAACACTGTTTTTATAATTATCTCCAGAAAAAATAATATACACACATTATTTTCCGTTTGCTTTTAAGTTTATTTTAATAAAATCTATTCAAATGAATAAAACGCTATTTTCAACTTAAACTGGCAAGGGTCCCTAAATGCCCCTTTACCTGTTTTTACTTTGAAGCCACACAAATATTGAAATTTCATTTTAATAGCTTTTCTAGGTTTATTAATACATTATTAAACTTGAAAAAAATTCCCAACTCAATAGAATTCTTCTTTTTGTGGTGCCTATCCGTTACAGATCTTGGCTACTAGCATGGTAATTCTAACTTTAATGACCTGAGCTCGAAAAAGTCCTAAAGTGGTCAAGGAAAACAATTTTCGTAAGTTCTGGAGCTAAGATATTCTTCTTTCTGGTCCCCTCTTTCCGTATACCTTTCCCTGTAATGTAAGTTGCAGTAGATCCCCAGTATCCGTCTATAACACCACATCTCAAACGCCTCGAGTTTTCCCACGGATGCCGTCGTTAGTGTCCATGATTTAATCCCATAGAGCAGCACTGTAAACACGTAGCACGTAGTCTCAATAAACGGATTTTCGTTTTTAGAACTGTCTGCAAAGGGGATGGTGTCGCCTGCATATCTGAATACCCTACTAAATAGAATAATTTTAAAAATCTTGCCATTTGTAGGGTTAACTCATTTTCCTATAAAAGTTACTTAACACCTATATGAGCTAGATTAACAATATGTTAACAAAATTTGTTAAATTCTTGTATTTCTGATAGTTATTAAAGACAGCTTTATTAACTACTATAAATATATTTCTGACATTTTATTTGGTGAAAATCAAGTTATAATTTACTTAATACACCACAACTTTTATTTCATTAGTGACAATGCATAGAGTTAACTTAAAAGAAAACATAATTCTTTCTCGCACAGGGGATAATATTTTACATCGCTCGCTTCGCATGGTACATCATCCCAAACAGCAACTCCCGACTTTGATCTGTATACTGATATGCAGGATAGATCACCTCGCTTGTTGTTTGGTTCACCAGTGTTCCAGTTGGTGAATGTCACATCTTTTCCATCAATCCAGCGCCATTTTGTACCATTAGTTCTTTTGGTACCCGAAGTCCAAACGGCTTCTCCTGGATGAACGACACCTAAAAGATTTATTTATTTAACTGGTAATATACTGACAACTGAATCCCACCTGCGTAATAATAATCAATCTAGACTGTTGAATAGATAGAAACTGACTGTGAAATGGCTGATAAATAATTGAGGCAACCATTATCAAGCTAAAAAAAAGCTAATATCGAAAAATTATTGAAACTGTTTCTAAGATAATAAAGGGGTATTCTGCACAAACTTTGACAAATGTTGTTCTAGTAATAGCGCGACATGCTTGCGTAATTCTTTCTCGCAATTTCCCAAGTGACGCAGGTCACTTGGGGACTTGCGGCACCTGGGTGAATTGATTTGAACGTACTCAAAAGTTTGGGGCGAATTAGGGCTGCACATCCGCCTTAAATTTTTCTGTGCGCTTAGATGTTGTTTTATTTGTATGAAAAATGGTTTTAGAACAAAAAAGTAACGTGTCCATTTTTATTACAAAATGTCAAGTTTTTTAGGGGACAATGCAAAAAAACAATTTTTATTTTGTAACTTCAAAGGGCTGTAATTTTTTTGTGTATGTTCACTTTTGTATTAAGGTAAGTTGTATTCCATCAATTTGTTTTTGTCCCCGGAATGCGTAATTTAATTTATGACATACCTTTTTGGAACACCCTGTATAATGCACACTATTGTAACTTACTTCTTTCTAGCAGAAACTTAGCAATTGCGTCATTTTTTTCTTTATTCTCAATTTTGACTAACTGCCATGAATTTGATTTACAGTACTGAACAGCTTCAATCCAAGAAACCTGTAATAGCAGTAAAGAAGTTGATACATATAACATAAAGTTAATTAACATACATTAATAGATAGAATCAAAACGAACAAACTTTTACAGATGTGATTTCAGAACTAGTAAGGTTAATGATTCAAAGGAAGGTAAAAAGAAATAAAAAATAAGCCAAATCATATCAAATCACTTTAATAAATATATAAGAGGTGCAATAAAACAAACTCTGTGATTATAGAGATCTATTTATAAACAAATATCTATTTATAAGAGAGAAAAGAGAATAAACAGAGATCAGCACTTAGATAATAACATTTTCTGAGCATCACCTTTGCCGGGGATGCCAAATTTCTTTAGATATTTTAACAACCTTCGACCTTATCAATAAAATAATCTATTTAAAATCAGATAATAAAAATACAATTCCTTTAGTATCCAGCAGTACTTTAAAACCAAACTACGTATCAGTCTCGAATGTATAGAGACAGAGGATGCTAACATGGAGTAGACCAGGCTACCTTTACAAATAATAATTACAAAGAATATGGTTTACTGCAACATAAATCACCAGATCATTGAAGAAGGATGAACACGACGATGATGACACTACGATACAAGGGGTAGTTACCAACTATACTATACAAAACGGAAATTACTTTGAAATGCCACAAAAAATCAATTCAGAACAAAACTAAAAAATTTACCAGTTGTAATTCAATCTTGAAGGATAAGAGATTTAGCAGACTATTTAAACATCAGAGATCATGGAAATACTGACGTTATTGGAAGAAATTAAATAAGTTTTGTTGTATTTAAAGATCCAAATCAATTTTACTTGTTATTACTTTTAATTAGAAATTTTAAGTCAAGTGTTTACATCTATGGTAGTAATTTTTACAACTTACTAATCATGTATATATACTTACCCCAATTTTTGAAATACCAAATTGAGGAGAAGCATCTGAAAAAATTAAACTTTTGTAAAACCAATGGCTACACATTCTGTTGCAGCTTTCGTATGCAATTTTTGAATTTTCCCGCAAAACATCACATGTGAAAAGGCACGAGCGATCTACGAAGATTTTCTGAAGCATATCCCACACACTTCCACAAATCGAATTAAAAGATTCGTTTAAAACTGAGGTTTACATTAAAACGTTTTCCGAACTGATAGAAGCCAAAGGCTACATCCCCTAACAAGTCTTCAACTGTGTCGAGATAGGGCTTGTCTGGAAAAAGATGCCGATTAGAACTTACACAAAGACAGAGGAGAAGACGATGCCAGGTCACAAACGAATGAAAGATAGATTAATTCTGCTACTTTGCGCCAATGCGAGTGGCGACTTTAAAATCAAATCTTTTGTATAGTACCATTCAGAATATCCGAGAGCCTTTAAGTCACATATTTTAAAATAAAAACTGCCAATTATGTGGAGGGCGAATCCAAAGGCGTAAGTGACCAAGAAACTATTTGTGGAGTGGATAAACCTAGTATTTATTTATTCCTTTTGGAAAAAAAAAAATTCTACAGCAAAACAACCTACCCATGCCAATTCTTTTTGTCCTCAATAATGCCTTTTCTCACCCACCAAATTATTAAGATGATTTACTCCAAGAGTTCAAGTTTATAAAGATTCTTGATGCCCTTTGGTCAACAAGTGATTTCTAATTTTAAGAAGTTGTATACCAAGCACATTTTTCTGCACTGCTTTGAGGTGATGGAGAACATAAATCTTGCGCTTCGAGAGTTCTCGAAGGACCACTTTAACATAGCAATATGTCTAAGAATTATTGAGCAGACCTGGTTAAGTGTTACAACTAGGACCTTATTTTCTGCATGGAAGAAGCTGTCTTAGGAGACTGTAGATGAAAAGGCCTACAAAGTACTGGAACCCAAAGTTTTAGTGGTAGATGAGATTGTTTCTCTTAAAAAATCATGGGTCTAGAGGTGAATGAAAGAGATGTGAACGATATTGACGAGGAACAGTCTCAGGAGCTGACAACCGAGGAGTTAGACGAACTACATTAGCAGCAGTATACGGTGGTCGTGCATCGGTGTTGTTCAACAAAACTTGTCTTACCTATTTCCGCAATATTCTGAAACGGAAAAAGAAACAAACCTCCTTGGACAGTTTTTTTAAACGAGCTGCAGATGAAAATGAGCGAAGTCTAACGAAAAAAGCGAAGACCACTGACGAAAATCAAGCGCTTCTGTAAGCAGTTCACTTTTTCTAATGTTTTTACAGAATATGTACGTATTTTTTATTACTTATAGATAAATATTTCTTTTAAATATATTTTTGTTATTTAAAAACACTTAATAAAAACAACTTATGTTTTTTTGGGTACTGGAACGGATAATGACATTTTAGTTAATTTCAATGAAGAAAATTGCTTTGACGTATTAGCAATATGACATACCAACAAGACTACGAAACGAATTACACTCGTATGTCGAGATATCACTGTATATTTAAGTAGAATAATAATTAAATTAATTCTTGTTTGTTTTTATTAATTGAATATAACTTATACTTGAATAAAATTAACAACTGTTCTTTATATAAGCTCCAAGTACAATATCAATACATTATATACATAATAAATAATACATATTACCTGAAATATACACCAACTGCCATACACACAGCAAAAGAAGTGCTTCAAATAAACGAAACATTTTCAATCAAATAGTTAAGTTTTTCTATCAGTATGCAACTATATAAATAACTAATAATATTATGCAAACGAATGCATATTTCGATATGCCACATAAAGTTAAAAAATTTTAACTGCTCATTCCATATTAAAAAATTCCTATGTAGTTTGTGCATTTTGTGACCTTGTAAAACCTTTTTTTGTTAAAAGCAATAAAAAATAGTAATTCAAACCGTTTAGAGTATTAGTCTAGACGGGATCTGTTTTGGATTGGACATTTTCCATAGGAAGCTAAGTTTTTGCTGGAATCCCTTTAGGATGTGCCCAATATCGATAATCACGATATGCCCCAGTCGCAAACCCTGTGCTAAATTTTTTATTAAACAAAATCCGAAAACAATTGAAAATTTTCTCATCTTGTTGCTCCTATTTTCGTTTATAATTCGGAAAATATTGATCCTAGAGAAAAAATTATAAGAAGTTAAAAGTTACGTAATTCAATTTTACACAATATTTTTTTAGCTAGAAATTGAAAATTTAATGTTTATTGTTGAAAAAATAGCAATAGTTGGAAAAAAAGTACAAAAAAATTAAGTTAATCCTTTAAATATTTTTGACTTTGTGAACTTGACTTACAAGCTCCATATTCCGCCTAGAAAAACTTTTTAATATGTTTAAAACGTGTGATAAATTTTGTTAAGACCGTTAGGATAGGTTTTGCATAATAATTGTGCAATCCAGCCTACTGGAAAAAAATCGCAAATTTTCAAATTTACAGTAGGCCCTAAATAGTTGCTCAAACTTTCAAACGCTTTTTGTAAAATTCAAATCGGTTCACTAGAAGAGCATAGAATTTTTTTTAAAGTTTTAACATTTTTTAGACTTGTAAACAAATTGAATAACTTTATGACCTTTAAACATATCATTTTCGAATCAAAATATATTCATCATCATCACTTCCTCGACAACCCTTTTTGAGTCTTGGCCTGTTCAAGGATTCTTCTCCATTCTGACCTTTTTCGTGCTTTTTTTTCCAGTTTTTAATTTTTAATGTTGTTATTTTCTATTTGTTCTACGTATCTCAGCTTCGGTCTTCCTCTTGTTCTTTTTCCTACTGGCACTTGTTTGAATACTTTGTTTGGTATTTCGCCTTCTTCCATTTTTTCCACATGTCCAATCCAACGTAGCCTTCCTATTTTAATGAATGTTATGATATCCGGATCCTGGTATATGTTGTATAGTTCAAAGTTATACCTTCTCCGCCAAATTCCGTCTTCTTTTGTGCCCTTATATATGTGTCGCAAGATTTTTCTTTCAAAGGTGGCTAATAACGTTTCGTCCCTTTTAGAGAGTGTCCAGGTTTCTGAACCGTATGTGAGTACCGGTCTTATTAAGGTTTTGTATATTTGGCATTTTGTTTTTCTGGGGACGTTATCTGATCTTAGTTGCCTAATTAAGCCATGGTAACATTTATTGGCAATAAATATTCTCCTCTTCACTTTCTCTGTAACGTTGTTATCAGACGTAACTAGGGATCTACGAAGAATGTTGCGTTTCGATTTAGAACTAGGGATCCTAAGTATGTAAAGTTTTTTACCTCCTCAATGTTGTATTCTCCTATTGTTAAATTTGGCAGCTGCCTTATTTGTGCGTTTTTATTTGCAGGCATATTATGTTTTTGTCTGATTGATTTTAAGACCACTATTTTTTGCAGCTCGTTCTATTTGAGTGAATGCATCTATCATTTCTCTTCTTGATCTTGCGATTATGTCAACATCATCTGCAAATGCTAGTACTTGCACGCTTTTATTAATTATTGTTCCTTGGGTATTAACTGTTGTGTCTCTTATTATTTTTTCAAGTATGATGTTGAATAATATGCATGATAGAGCGTCTCCCTGGCGTAGTCCCTTCTTCACATCTATTGTTTCCGTTAATTCGTTTTGTATCCGGATTTTACTTTCTACTTTTAGTGTTTCTTTTATCAATTCTATTAGCTGTGTTGGTATATTAAATTCTTTCATTGCTTTTGTTAGGAATTCTCGGTTTATATTGTCATATGCGCTTTCGAAGTCTATGAAGAGATGATGTGTGTCGATGTTATATTCACTTGTTTTTTCAAGGATCTGTCGCAGAACAAATATCAGGTCTATTGTTGACTTCTGTCTACAGAAGCCACATTGGTATTTGCCAACTATTTTTTCAGCGTATGGTCTAAGTCTTTCATACATTACGTTGGACATTATTTTGTATGCCGCATTCAACAGCGTGATTCCACGGTAGTTTTCACATTCTAACTGGTTTCCTTTTTTATGTAGTGGTACAATAATGACGCTATTCCACTCCTTTGGTAGCTGTTTATTCAACCATATCTTTCTTATCAGCTCATGTATGGCTTTAAGTAATGCGTCTCCTCCTTCTTTCAGTAGCTCCGATGATATTTGATCCGATCCCGGTGATTTATTGTTCTTTAATTTGTCCACTGCTGTTCTAATCTCTGCTATTGTTGGTGGACTCTTTTCTCTGTTGTCTGCTTGGTCTAATGGTATATCAGGGTTCATCTCCGTCCTATTCACCCAAGCTTTTCCTTAAAATGTTCTGTCCATCTTCTAAGTATCTCTTGCTGTTCTGTCAATATATTACCCTCCTTATCTTTACACATCGTTGTTGTGTAATCAAAATATATTCCCAAATCAAATAATGTCATTATTATGATAAAACTGCAGAAATTAATAATTATTTTAAAAAGTTTGATTTTTACAAAAAAAAAATTCGTTCTTCTTTGTTTTAACAATTCAAATTATTTATTAACAATTTATAAATACATATTTGTTCACTAAAAGTAACAATATATAATAACAGTAATAATTTGAATTGTTAAAACAAAGGAGAACAAATTTTTTTTTTGTAAAAATCAAACTTTTTAAAATAATTAAATTCTGCAGTTTTATCATAATAATGACATTATTTGATTTGAGAATATATTTTGATTCGAAAATGATATGTTAAAAGCTCGTAAAGTTATTCAATTTGTTTATAAGCCTCAAACATATTTAAAATTTTAAAAAATTTTCTTTTCTACGAATTTTACAAAAAGCATTTAGAAGCTTGAGCCTTCCTTTATTTGTAAAAAACATTGCAACTATCTGGGGGCCTTATTTAGGGCCTACTATAAATTTGAAAATTTGCGATTTTTTTTTCAGTAGGCTGGATTGCAAAATTATTATGCAAAACGTATCCGACCGATCTTAACAAAATTTAGCACACGTTTTAAACAAATTAAAAAGTGTTTCTAGGCGGAATATGGAGCTTGTAAGTCAAGTTTAAAAAGTCGAAAACCTTTAAAGGATAAACTTAATTTTTTTGTACGTTTTTTTTTCCAATTATTGCTATTTTTTAACAATAAACATTAAATGTTCAATTTCTAGCTAACGACATATTGTGAAAAATTGAATAACGAAACTTTTAACCTTCCATAATTTTTTCTCTAGGATCAATATTTTCCGAATTATAAACAAAAATAGGAGCAAAAAAATGAGAAATTTTCAATTGTTTCAGATTTTGTTAAATAAAAAATTTAGCAGAGTTTGCAACTGGCGCATATCGTGATTATCGATATTGGGCCCATCCTGAAGGGATTCCAGCAAAAAAAAATAGCTTCCTATGGAAAATGTCCATTATGGTCTGAATTTTTACAGATCTCGCCTAGTCTATATCGCAATTAAGATAACAACCAATATATACAACCTACTTAAATGACTATTCTGTCGAATTCGTCATTTAGCCTGTGTTAAGTCTACTGTTTGACAGTAAACTGTCCATCTGAGAAAATACGTTAGGCTCTCACGGCCATCATCTACCTTGTTAAACTGTTTATTCGGGCTGTTAGTCCGTTGCCTTTTAAGATTAGTTTTTGACGTTTCGTCAATACTAGAGGTTGTCATCTTCGAGATATTACTGATTTGCTTGTAAGCTGTAACTAACGCCCCATTCTACTACGGAGGCAAAACTATTTATATTTTTTATTCGTCTCCCCTCCACTGGTTCCGGCGTGAGAGGTCATCCCGTTGTTCTTTGCTTTTCTTTTTTCAATATTGATTCAAAAGAAAAGCAACGAGTACCGAAAGCATCGTCAAAATTTGGCGAAGGTTGACAAGAAGATTCTAGATTTGTTATACGTTTTGAGCAGCAGGTTGAAATCTGCAGATTGGAATAAAATTGAATCCATTTGTTACAGGAAAATGGAAAATGAACTGGGAAGGAACAATGAACGCCAGAAAAATTAATATAAACGCCTAAGCAAACATAGGGAGGTGGAATCAAGAAAAAGACGTTGGTAGTAAATTTCTTAATGTACAGTAGTAAACGCATATTCTTGGCTGATATGTGAATACCTTTGGTAATCCAGGGGTTGTAATGTTTTGACTTAGTTGTAGTTAAATTAAATACCTTATTGGAAATACTGACAAGGCTATCTAATTATAATTAATCTTTAGCAAATACGATTTTTATGTTACAACGGAAATAAAACAAATGCTGCAAATAATTGTTGGTAAAATTTATTTATAAAGTTAGCTTGCTAATTTTTTATTTATTTCCACATGGTCTTAAGCTGTTGTTAACATTAACAGAATATGTGCCTTGATTCTTGTGACCTTCATCTGCTCCACGTGCTAAACTAACACCGGAAGACACCAAGTTGTTGTTAATGTACACATTAACAATTGGTTTAACCAGACAGTTCTTTTTATAAACAGGTGCTGCAGAAGGCGCGACTTCTTTCTTGTCATTGTCTTTACCAACATTACCAACGACGTCATCTTTCGGGACATGGCCACCGGGAACTGCCTTTTCTTGATTCTCACAAATGAAAGGTCTGACCTTTTCACACTTTTCTAGCCTCCAGATACCGTTTAATAGAATCGTTAAGCAGGTTCTGTCATCAACGAATAAGGTTTCGTTGGGTTCTAATTTTTGGTAAATAATTGGACGATTGATTCTCAACCATCTCCAGTCTGAGAGTGGTCTTCTTCCGGAGATCCAGAATGGGCCATCTTCACCTAAAACAATGAAAAGTTTAGCATTTCCAACAGAGGTAAAAAGCATATATAATCAAAACATTACAAAAATGTTTAGTCACGATGCACATATAGAATAACAAAAAAACAGATATATCTTAAATAGAAAAGAAAAACACTTGATATGTGATAAAAAAAATGTATTAAATGTTTTGGTGAAATTCACAGTCGAATAGGGTTGTTTAGTCCAGGCTGTGAGGCCGTTCCCGATAGAAAAATGTTTCTGATTCGGTTTCTTCGCGGATTTCGTTTCAAAAATGCCCCCTTTAAACAAATCTGAAGGGTGCCGGGCGAAATTTTTGGGCAGAAATTGTTTAAACAATTTTTTTTTAACAAATTCCAAAAATATTTTTTTTAATCTGGAAAATATTTTTTTAGGTTTTTTGGGTCATTCTAAACAAAAAAGGTCTGTTGTCATTTTTCTCTAAAGTTGATAGTTTTCGAGTTATAAGCGATTTGAAATTCTGAAAAACGCGAAAATACGCATTTTTGAGGCTTGAAAACACATATGTAAATTATTATTTTTGAGGTTACCAAGTATCTAAATTGAAGTTTAAACATTTAACTTCAAGATTGGGAAGAGTTATCGGGGCTTATTTTAATTTAGACCGTTGTTTTTTGCTTCTATCGTACTTATGCATAGTTTACATATACATTTACGCAAAAAAACCCGAACAAATCCTTGAAGTTTATTAACATAGTTTTTTTCATAATTTGTTTATGTAGGTATTAATTATTGTCATTTGGCTAATTAAATAAATCAATCATCGCAATGTAATAACCGTATATAGTTTTTTTTTCTTCCAAATTTGAACAATATAATTATTATTTATTGAGTATATATTTATTTATATCAATTGTAAATAATATTTTTAAATTATTATTTAAATAATACAATGCAGTAAATATTAATATTAGTAAACTTAATTTTAAATTGCGCGGTGTTTAAAAACAATATACTATCGCACAAATGCAAGTTTTTACCTGTTTAACAATCGCGCGCTCATACTTGATTTGTTATAAACGATCATTAGGAAGACTATTGTTTAATGCATATTAAAAGGGTATTATATTATTAATGTGTTTTTAAAAAAATTGTGAATGGATTTAAAATGTCTTTTTCCGTACCTCTTCTTAAATGAAAACTTACCGAAGAAAATTTAGTTTGTATTTTTTGTAATAACATTAACAATATTAAATTAGTGCAAAAACCTAAAGTAGATTTTTATATAACAATACAAAATACTGCTCTTCGACGAAAAGACAGTGTGACTGAAAAATTTAATTTAATCTAGCCAATATACCTTGTACCTCTGACGCACTTTACCAACACTTGTTAAGAGCTTTCGCTAAAACATATATTTGGCGAAATGCCATATATTCCCGCTATCAAACTCTCGATTTTACACAATATGGATATTATATGTCTGATAGTGGTGGGTTGGGAAACCGTGCAAATGCAAAAAGACTTGCAAAACTAATGCTTGCAACTGCAAGAAAAATCATGTCAACTGTGTACCATTAGGTGGATGTGATTTAGATTTTTGTGAAAACAAAGATACTTTTACTGAGTGATATTAGTGTGTTATTTAACAAACTTTTGTACAATTATTTTATGTAACAATTATTAGACTTTAGACGAAATTTATATTATAACTCAATTGATATAAATAAATATATACTCAATAAATAATAATTATTTGTAAGTATATGTAAACTATGCATAAGTAGGATAGAGGCGCACGGTAGCGCGCGGCGGCGCCGCGGCGCCGCGGCGGCTGAAAAATCGAGTGTACGCGCATACTTAACAATTAAAAAACAACGGTTTAAATTAAAATAAGCCCCGATTACTCTTCACACTCTTGAAGTTGAATGTTTAAACTTTAATTTAGACACTTGGTAACCTTAAAAATAATAATTTACATATGTGTTTTCAAGTCTCAAAAATGCGTATTTTCGCATTTTTCAGACTTTAAATCGTTTATAACTCGAAAACTATCGACTTTAGAGAAAAATGACAGGAGACTTTTTTTGTTTAAAATAGCCCAAAAAACCTAAAAAAATTTTCCAGATTAAAAAAAAATTATTTTTGGACTTTGTTTAAAAAAATTGTTTAAACAATTTCTGCCCAAAAATTTCGCCCGGCACCCTGCATATTAATAATATGAAGAATAATAATATGAAGAAAAAAATACCAGGCAAACGCAGTCCAGGACGAAGAAGAACCTCATGGTTGAAGAACTTGCGAGATTGGTGTGGTGTAGATACAAGCATGCTATTTAGGGTGGCAGTGAATAAAATTAAAATAGCTATGATGGTAACCAACGTTCTGAAAGGACATGGTACATGAAGAAGAAGAAGAACCCTTCATATTTGTTTAAAGGGGACATTTATGAACCGGAATCCGCGAAGAAACCGAATCAGAAACATTTTGCCAACGGGAGCGGCCTAACAGCCTGGACTAGTTAGGAATATATTATTTTTGTAATAATCATTGGTATATATGTAAGGTACATTAGGAACTGAGTATGAAAACCCAGAATAAAATATTCAGAACTACAATAACGAATTATGAGCAGAGGTTCAATAATAGGAGGACTGGTAAATTTGATTCAGCTTTTTGACACCAATGGCCAAAAAAAATGGAATATTAGGATATTTGCGATTGGTTTTTCAATTTAAATAGGCAAAAAACGAAAAAAAAAATATACATAAAATTACCAGAGTTATTTAAGAACTAAAATTATATTAAACTAAACAAAACTTTACGTCAATAAATACGTAAATACTTATAGTTTATTTGTCTTTCGGATTTGGACCGTGTCATTTGTGAGTGACCCAAAAGTGGGTTCATCTCGACGTTTCGCTACAATTGTATGTAGCTTCTTCAGGAGAACTAAGAAAAAGAAATCAAAAGACAGGAAGATGGGTAGTTAGCAACGGTAACTCAGTTACTCAACGCAACCAGAGGCGAATACTAACTACCAAGATGGGCATTTGGTCACAGTAACTCAACTACTCAACGCAGCCAGAGGTGAAAACCAAATGCCAGGATAGGGATTCACGTCCAACAGCTCCATTCAACAGCAATAAACTATAATTCTGACTCTGGCGATTCTGACAAGCCTGCGATTTCATTTGACGTAAATACTTATTTCTAAATATTTGGTCGTTGTTGCCGTCTAATGCCACCAATTGGTCTCATTGCTCCTGGAGTGATCCTTTTCAAAATTAACATGCTTCTTTTCTAACTTGACTGCATCGTACTAGTGACGACCAAATGGAAATAAGTAGGTACCTATTTTGTTTTATATTTTGCAAGACATATTTATATTATCAATTAAACTTACCGACATCTTCAAGTACCTTTTTGGTACTTTCAGTTTCTTGGTCATTTTCAATGGCTAGCAACTGAAGACCGTGGTATTCACAAAAAACTTGAGCTTGCTTTTGTGTACCCTGAAAACAAATACAAATTTATTTGTATATGGAAAATAAAAATTTAGAAATTTATTTAAGTTTAGTAAATATTTTTGGAGGCAAAAACGAGTGCCGTTATCCCGATTTCAATAATGCCTTAATAAATATAAACTTTTACGCTACAAATCGGTTGAGGAATCTACAGATAAAACTAAGCTTCTTTTTTCTGGTATTTCTAATGTTCTCATGGCCTCATATACCATCGTTTGATTTAAGGAGTCATTCATAATCCCAATTTATGTAATCCCATATCATATTTGAGCCTAAGTTTTTTTTTAGCTATATTTTGATATTAATCTCTTTGATCAGTAGTTGTTCTTCTTGGTCTAAAACCTCCCTGGTGTTCTCCAATCAGTTTGTTGTCATATTTTATTAATATTTTCCTAATAACTTTTGCAAGATTTTTATAAACCACTTATAATAGATAATATACCTCTATTGTTTTTTAATACGTTTTATCTTCTTTTTATAGATAGGACAAATAAGAGAGGTATTTCATTGTTTCGTTATTTCTTACTTATGACAAATTATTAGTGTCAAGTGAAATATCCTTTGCTTCAATCTTTCGCCACTTTTCTTAAAAATCTTAGCTGAGATACCACTTGCTCCCGCACTTTTGTTATTTTTCAGGTCTCTTTTTATTTCTTTGACTTCATTCACAGTTGGTTGCTCGTACGTCCCTTCTTCATCTTTTGCCAATTCTTGTTTCCCTCAAGTTCCTCATGTTGATCTGTATTTATTAGATTTTCGAAATATTCCCAAATAAGTTTATAGGAATTTTCTCTGTGACTCTCGTAGAAACGACAACCCTTTTTGTCAAAATATTTATGAATTTTTTTTTGTGTTATATTTAAAATATTATAATTTATAATATTATACAAGATACTATACCCCTGTTTTATATTTTTACTCACCAACATTTCTAGTTCAATGTGATACTTTTTACCAGCATTGTAAGTGTAAGTCAAAAATCCTGGTGGAGTGTCTTCCATAGCTGCCTGCCATTCCTCATCGGTAACTGAAACAGTAATTATATTAAAATTTTGTATTTCTGTAAATCAAAAAAAAAATGAAACTGTGACCCAAAATTAATCACATCTAACAATAAAAAACTAAAAATAAATAGCGATATATAGCTAAAGGTGCATACTTTGCAGACAAAAACTCGAGCCTTTTCTTCAAAATATAAATTTTTGTAATTATGGTTGTAGACCAAGACGTAAATTTCATCGAAGTAATGAATATTTCTCTCTTCTTTTCAAAACAGAGTTACAAAGATAAATTGTATGGTTCTTTGCCATATTTCTGGCTTAATATGGTAGTTAATAGATCATTGCAGTCCTTCCTTTATAACACATATTTATTTTATAAAATGAAAAAGACAGTCAATATTTGATTTCACGTACAAAGCGTCCATGTATCTGTTTATACATATTTCAACCTAATAGGTCTCATCTCTCTCATCTGTCATGAAATGCAAATTTTAGATTTCTCATGTATCTTTTAACATCCTTATCAACGTCTGTTATACCTTGCAATTTTTAGAAGGATCAGATTAAAGCAGAAATATGAATTGGTTTCGAAACTATTTTACGGATTTCTTATCAGATGTCGCTATTGCGTCCACATCGAAGCCATTTTAGTGTTGTTGCTTAAAAGACAGAAAAGATTTATTTTTCACGTTTAACTCTCTTTTTCATTTTATTCGGATTTACTCTGTATGAGTACAAGAAACCAATTCGCTAATGATTTCTGCTTAGTTGAGGATACATGCCTTGGAATGCAAATTTTAGATTCCCTATGTCTCTTTTAACATCTTCATCAACGACTGTTATACCTTGCAATTTTTGGAAGGTTTAGATTAAAGTAGAAATCTGAATTGGTTTCGAAACTACTTTACGGATTTACATATCTAGTTTTTTTTGGACGACAGAGGTATAGTTTTAAAAATATAAAAAAGGAAAATTGGTAACCTAAAGTCAATAAAATACTTGACCACTCACCAGGTTCCAGTTCGTCGTCGTCTTCTTCGGTTGTTGCTACAGTAGCAACTTGAGTTTGTTCTCCGCCATCATCTTCGACAATGGCAGCATAAACAGCGTTAACAAATTCATCTGCGTCTGGGTCCTCTTCCTCGTTGAACGCGTCTCTTTTAACACGTTGAACGTTTTCCCCAGTGACTTTCTCGCAGATAAAGGGAAATTGCTCGTTGCAGTTGATATCGTTCCAGAAGAGTCCGTTTTCGTTTGTGTGTTGAAGGTTTATGCACTTTTCGTTTATGTTGTCTGGCTGGTTTTTGTCCCATTTGGTGTACTCGATTGGTTGACCGTTTGTGAACCAGGTCCAGGTGTCGTCTAATAGTCTAGTACCAGCAATCCACCATCTGGATCCAAGATCTATGCAATAATATGAATTAAGTCGACGATTTAAAAATTTTGTTTTGTGTTAAAAAAAAAGTAAAATAAAGAAGGAATTTTATTGTTTTCTACAATTTGAGCTTCTTGCCTTAACATGGTCATTGCCAGCACATGCTTCCAGCGAAAAAATACTCATAGTGGAACATGAAGATCACCAGATAAGGTTACAGCAAACATGATAGATCATGTTATTATTGACTCTAGACATCACTCAGACGTAATAAGCGTATGCTGCAGACGAGGGGCAAATGCAGACTCGAATCACTACCTAGTGGAAAGTAGAATAAAAGCCAGAATCTTAAACATTAAAAAAAAAATCGATGCAAAATTGAAAAATATGAAATAAAAAACTTAGCACACAACAGTAAAAAGGCAAAATACAAAGTGTATATAATAGAAAGGCTACAAAACAGAGAAAAGAACGAGAATATAAACATAGAATGGAAATCTTGTAAAAACATCATACAAAACGCGGCCAAAGAGAGCCTGGATCTACAAAAAAAGCTTAAATCAACTGAAGATCAGAGAGGAAAAATAATACATACTAACGACTACAACAACGACATAGAATACGAAAGGCAGATTAGGAATATGGAATGCTAAGAAGGCAAGAGAAGAAAACACATCCAGAAAAAAAAGAGTACATATAGAAAAAGAACTCCAAGAAACGAAAGAACTAAATAAACCATCAGAAACCAGAAAATTCTACCATTAACTTAGCAAAAGTGGAAAAGAATTTAAACCAAGAACAATGATGTGCAGAGATAACGAATGAGATATACTAACTCAACAGAGTGAAATACTACAAAAATGGGTAGAATTCTTCAAAGAAAAGTTTAAAAAATAAACAAAGATCCACTACTTAATGGAATTATACTAGATCAAACGGATACCAGAGAAATAACCCTCCCTTCAGTAGCTGTTGCAAGAAGCAGTTACCAGACTGAAAAAGAACAAGTCGCCTGGATTGGACAACATTAGCGCAGAATTAATTAAGGAAGGTAGAGACTCCCTATTGAATGCGATATACGAACTAATAGTGAACATATGGAATAATAAACAACTGCCACAAGACTGGAATACCGGAGGAATTATCCCACTACATAAAAAGGAAGATCAGCTTCAATGTAAAAACTACCGGGCAATAACTTTACTAACTGTGGCATATAAAATACTGTCAAATATTGTATATGACCGATTAATCCATATGCCAACCAAATAGTTGAGGGATATCAATCTGGTTTCTGCAGGCAGAAGTCCATAATAAATCAGATCTTCCGTCTTGAGGGAAAATCTTGGAAAAGACTAGTGAATTTAATATAGACACACATCATCTTTTCAATAATTTTAAAAGTGCTCATGATAGCATCCATCGAGAATTTCTGATCCATGCACTAAAAGAGTTTAATATTTCAACTCAACTCATTGATTGTATAAAGTTCCACCCAAGAAGGGGAACAGGAAAAATTGATTTTTCGAAAAAAATCCAAGAAAATATTTAAAATGTAAAATGAATTTTTAACTGAAGCACTCCTTTTATAGATAAACGATATTTAAAAAAATATAGGGCCAAAGAATTGTGGCAATGGCAATGACAGAGAAGTAAATATAATAAATATATATAATAATATCAACTATTATCAACTCATTGATATCTAAAAGAAACACTTAAAGTACAAAGCAAAATTCGAATTCAAAACGCACTAACAGATACAATTTATGTGAGAATGGGCCTATGACAGATCCTGTATTCTATTCAACACCACGTTAGAAAAAATAATTAGAGAGTCACAAGTCAACACCAGAGGAACAATAATAACAAAAAGTGTACAAATATTGACATTTACAGATGATGTTGTTACCATAGCTAAAAGCGCAACAGAGATGGTAGAAGCAATGAATGCGATAAAAAGAGCGGCACAAAACAGTGACCTAAATATTAAAGAAATAAAAACCAAAGACAGAAAAAACAGCAAATTGACAGACCAAAAAAACATACAGAATCTGAAAATAGGAGACTATAACACCATGAAAAGCATGAAAAATTTTACATATCTAGGTTCACTAGTTACCGCAGATAACAATGTCGGTGAAGAAGTTATAAGAAGAATACATATCGCTAGTTAAACATATAATGGACTAATCATACATCTAAGATCTAACAATATCACAAAAAACCAAATGCAAAATATACAAAACCCTGATAAAACCTGTCCTTGTATATGGATCAGAGACATGGAGACTGTCGAAAAGCGATGAGAACCTATTAGGTATACTTGAACGAAAAATCCGTAGACACATATATAAGCGGGTAAAACAAAATGACATATTGAACTATACACAGCATGTAATGGACTTGAGGTCATAACATCCATTAAGATCGCACGTCTGCGCTGGATGGGCCATGTTGAACATATGTTGAGACTGAAACACCAAAACATATAATAAGGCAAACACAAGAAGGGAGAAAGTCAAAGGGAAGACCCAAACTTAGATACATGAAACAAGTGGAACAAGATCTGAAAACACTTAAGATTACTAACTGGAAAAACAAGGCAAGGAACAGAATGGCGAAAAATCCTAGAACAAGCCAAGACCCAGAAAGGGTTGTCGATCTACTGATGATGGTGATGATAAGTATTTTAGGTGGTAGATTAGTTATTAATTTCTGTTCTGGGCTACGAAAAAAGAATAAAATAAATTAAGGGTAGTCTTAAAACTAAGAGGATACATACATTATCTTACACAAATAAAAAATCAGATCAAAAATTTTTACAAAATCTCTAAAATATCAATAAACCTAAAAAAGGATGAACATAAAATACCAAGTGCAAGAGAAGTTATAAAAAACAAAACAGTTCTAATTAAAAATATTAGCAGTTTTGAATACGAAGCTGGTACTCAACACACTGTTTGGTAATTTTATGTAAATACTTGATAGAATGAAAAGACCGGAACTAAAAAAGAAGTTTAGTGAAGACCTAAAAAGAAAAAAGCTCATATAAATTAAGTAAGGAACTTTTTAATGTGACCGCTACAGGTTGTGTAATGACCAAAAACATATAAATGTGAATAGAAAGTGACAGTCTAGCGATTCGATTGCTAACTCAAATTTATTCACGACCAAACTACAAAAGCTCATTACACTCTCATCAACGATATGCTTCACTGATTGCTGAAATGCAATTAAATTTAGTTCAAACCTATTATTGCTTAAAAATTATATATTGTAGTAGTAATGTTGTTTATAGTAGACAGACTGCATTAAAAATACAGTCGATCTATTAAGAATTAAGGCTTTTTTATATTTTTGCGTAACGTATAATAATTATTGTATACGGTTTGTCAAAAATAAATATAAAACCACTCACTGTTATCTCTGATATATTTCTCTATAGCTTGGTTTTCTTCGGCAGAGTTGATAGTTACAAGACTCATATGGAGCATTCTGCAATAAAAGGCTGCTTCAGTGAATCTACCCTGTAAAATATCGATTGTATCAGTATTTAATTAAGTCATACGTTGTACAAAACAAACAAAACATACACAAAACATTCTCTTAAAAAGTCTAAAAAGTCAATATATAGAAAATTTTTGTTCCAAGTTTTTTATCATGGAGAAAAAACTAATTGCATAATTTTTACTTTATAGAAGCATGGAATAAGAAATAAGTTAGTGATTCTGATACTCAATAATTGCGTGAGAAAAAAATATGAATAGTGGAGCATTAACTACAGATTTAGATATGTTAACAGAAATAGTAACATTAAGGTAATGCAGATATCAGTGTATTAATTCCAGATGAATTTAGAAGCTAAGGTGACACTTAGATATGTTTTATTCAGGAATTAACAGGTCTAACAGTTTTAAAGGACTATCTTTTGGTAACCTATGTCTCTAAAAAAGTACTACCTGACTGATTAGGTGAAATACCAAGACCATGCTTAACAAAATACTTTTTCCAAGAAAACATATTTTTAATTATTATGAAATAATGATTTAACACTTATTATAAGCGAATTTTTAATAATTGAAGTCCAAAATAATGGAGAGGTAAAAAAATATCGCACCTTCAGTGTAAGACTGCAGTAACTCAAAATTTTATACAAATGAAATAATTACGGATTTCGATTGTAAAAATGTACATTTTATTCCCTGTAAAACTGTAATATCTTTCAAATGCTTAACCAACTAAATATTACAACAACAACAGTTTAACTATTTTGTGTTTTGTACATAAGTTCTGTGCAAAACTGTTGTAATTCTAATGTAACAGAGTTACAACAGTTTTGCACGGAACATTGCAATGGTTTCGATAACAATCAATAAAAGGCACGAAAAAATTTGTTATTTTAATATCTATATCTGTGGTGTTTAATTTAAATATACAGCGTGTCTGCGTAATCCATTATCGGCCGAGACAATAAACAAAGATTTACGAGACCAATCTATTCATGTAAGTTTTATGTCCTTTGTGTGTCATTGTAATAAAAATTGGATTGGATTAAAAACACATAAATTAAGACCAATTGTTTACAGCCAAAAAGTATTTTTTCTTATGGAAGGAAAAACAGGTATCTTAAAACTTGGGTATTAACAATATTAACAGATTAAAAATATCTATTCTCAGAAAGCTTGTTCTATAAAAACTAAATCCCAAATTGTATTAAATCTTCATCTAACCTACTCGACTTTTACTAAGGTAATTAATTTAATCCTTTTGTTAATCACTGTACACAAGTTAACCTAATTTACATATTTTTTTATAGTCCTTTGGTTTTGAATTTAAATAAAAAATATTAAAAGTTTTACACATAATTTTTCTACCGTGATATGACGTTGTCATTACAAACCGAAGGAATTGTGGCTATCAGAAACATGTGGCTAAATGTAATGTTTTGTACTATTCCTATCGTTGTTGGAGATTACTTTCTCTTTACATATCCTGATTAACTAATTAGAAACAAGTCCCCAGGCTACCAAAATCTCACAATAGTTTTATAAGAATATTTTGACCCAAGATGACATACGAGAAGAGGACAACAACTAACAGGAAATGTGTCTAGACTTTTTACCATTTTCTCCGTGCAAAAGTGTTGTAACTTTAAAATTCTAATACTAAATGTGTAGTAATTAACAATTTCCTTCGTGCAAAAGTGTTGTAACTTTGAAATTCCTAGTTTTTTAACATTAATATTATTTTATTTTAATTTATGTTTTTGGTTAATGTAATATAGATTGAAAAGTATGCAAAATTATACATAAATGTTAATGTTTCTTAAAACTTGTGTCTTATTTCACGGATATTTCCACGAAAATAAACAAAATCGTTTTATTATATATTTCACATATTTAATTAATATTTGATATATAAAAATTAAACTTACTTTATAATCCCTTGAGAAATAATAGTTTTTGCCGTTAAAACTCAACATGTTAATGTTTGGGCTGTAGGATGGTTTGCCTAAAAAAATGGTCAACAGTTATAACATGTATATATTATGTATACAGATTGAACGAGATAAATTCGGATCATACGAAATATATGTGTTTCGGCTAAATTCCCTCTAGGTGGTTGGCCAACAAAAGGTTGTCAAATAATTATATTATAAAAATCCAATATATCAGCGGGCTGCTGGATTCTGAACTCATTCAAGAACAAGTCAAAAGTCCACCCAAATAGGTTGCCCCTCCCAAAATCCAAGATTTTGGTGCAAAATAAATCTCGTCTGCCCCTGCACCCGATTTACTGGATTGCAATGCTAATTTTAATTCACTTTTATAGGATGTTCTAAAATTTTTAACTCTTTTTCTTACATACTCTTCATTCGCATCTTTGTTTACTTCTTGGAACTTTAAAACTAGAATGCCCATTGCCTGTTTTCGGGCGTTTCCATCGTGGTTCGTTTTACCTTTTATTCGCTATAAGCATTCTTGTTTTTTATGTAATTAAAAAAATTCTCATAAAAATTTCTCGCTAAATCAAGCCATGTCGATTTTCTATAATATGATCAAAGCAAGTGTGTAGTTAAAAATGTATTTTTATAGATATAACTCTCAAAAAGATCCGCAAATCGGATTATTACACGGCGATTGGCAACATTGACTTTGAGAGGCACTATAGACTATGGTGCGTCGTAAAAGGAGACAAATAGTTGAACGATATTTTATTCAATGTCTATCACCGGGTTAGACCATTGAAATTGTATGATCCATTTTAAATTAATTCAATCTGTATATATGTCACAGCTACTATTTTAGTTTTAGCTTCAATTACAAAAGAAGCCACTGAGAGTGATCTGACTTAGGCTAAGATCATTATTTTTAGTTTGCCCCAGGCCACGCTAAGTTAAATCCTATTAGAAATACACATAGAGTGTGCTCCTGTGGAATACATATGGCCAAGATTATGTATATGTAAATATACACGTGGCGGTTTAAACCCAGCCACTGTGTATATTCAGGTATACACATGGCAGTCAAAGTGTTAAAATGTATTCATAATAACTTACCAACAGCTGCTGGAGGAACCACCGCTGATGCTACTGCTGGAACAGCTTCGTGGTTTTCCCTTTGGCAAATAAAGTTGAGCTTGGTGTTGCAGTCTCTATCGTTCCAGAGAATATCGTTATTTTTTTCCCACAACTGGACGCATTTTTCACCATTATAACTAGGCTCTCCGTTTTCCCACTTTGTATGTTCTACAGTTTTTCCCGTACTCATCCATACAAAGTTTCTGTTGTCCAGGAAGTTGGCAGCAGAAGTCCAGTACTCGGTACCAGTGGACCCTAAAAATAGGAAAAAATAAGGGATATTATAAAATATTCGAATATAAAGGATTTATTGGATTAATTAGTAAACTGGAAAGTTATGATTGCTTATATTAAAAAAGATATTAGCAACAATCTATTATATAATTAAAAATAATTGTCATATCCAAATTATTATTACCACAAATTTTGGGGATGAAAAAATAAAATAATTTAATTTAATAAGTGTGCAAGTCATGATGCTAGTCAACAAAAGAAGAATATTGGATTTAATACTAATGGGATATTGTATTGAAAATTATGTAAATTAGATTCCTACTTACTATTATCCAAAATAATTTTTTTGATCGCATCGTTTTCCTCTTCTGAGTCAATGGTCAATAGTTTCATGTAAAGGACATCACAGAATTGGAGAGCCTCTTGGAAGTTTGCCTAAAAAATTAAAGTTTTACGAATGTTTTAAAGCGCGTAACAAAAGATATATTTACCTTGTAGTTAACTCCAAGAAAGTAGGCTTTGTTGCCATGTTTCACTAATGGGACATTGGGTACATCGGCCCCTCCTTTCAACCATCCCTTTTGAACTACAAAAAAATAGAATTTATTGTAACAAAATGAGACAAGGTTATTAAGTTGGGTTACTGGCATGTGAAGTTAATATACTTGTTGCTTGTACAATAACTCAATATAGTATTTGTTTTATTTATTAGACCTTCCATTAGACTTATACATGGTGTCAGGTGTGATAATATTTGCGTGGTGAAACCATTTCTTGTTTGGATAGGTACCTGAATCTGTAGTATTTGGTGGAAATATATCTGCAAACTGGCGCAAATTTAGCTAAAAGTTTGATCTATTTCTGATAGGTACGAATCCAACCTCCAAACCAGAATGTAAAAAGCTGACAGTTTTTTTAAATCTGGTGGATGAGGAGGCATTAGAGCTGTACAATATCTTCACATTTGACCAAAATGAAGACAGAATAGTAACTTGCGTAAAAAAAAGTTTAAAGAGTATTGTTCATTAAAGAAAATGTCATTTTTGGAAGATTTAAGTTTAATAGTATTAGTAAAGAAGGGCAGCCATTTGATTCGTTTGTTACAGAACTACAGAAAGCAATTAAAACAACAAAGTACAGCCAACAAGACCAGATGATTAGAGATAAAATAGATAAAGAGCGATAGAAATAAGTAAAGACCAGTCTAAAGTGTTACAAAATAAGTCATTAATAAATGCAGTTCAACAAAGAGAACCAAGTTGTAATCGGGTATATACCAGATGTGGATATAATTATTTTAGAGACAATCGATGTCCTGCTGATGTAAAACATGTGCTAAGTGTCAAGGCCATAACCATTTTGCAAAATTTTAGAGAAGAGCATAAACCTAGTACGAGCAATGTGAGAAGGATCCCAGAAATTACAAGAAAGGCAATGAAAGAGCACAAGAAGGAAGTGCATCAAGTAACAGAAGCTAGTGTAAGTGATGTGCACAGTTTGGGAAGTGAGTATCAGTATTTTGTCAGGTCAGCCTGGCTGTCGGGAAATTAAGATAGCTCTACAAAATTATATATGAACATGTCATAATACCGCATAACTGGCTAAAAGCCCACACTCTTCTCAAGAAACAAAAAGCAAGTGAACTGTATTCCTAATGAGTCATGCCGCTAAGATTTTTATGCGAATAATTTATAACCGAATTCATAATAATTGAAATGAGGTTGAATGCTCGAATAAATGAACTTTGAAAATAAGGCTATTATCGAGCACAAGTTAATTAAATCTAGCCCAAGCACTTTCGCTTAAAATAGCATCTTCAGGGGCATTTCGTCAAAATGTTAACTATCCGGCAAGCGTAGAATGTGGAAACTTTAATAGTGACCTAAAATTGTACAAAACACTACACTAAAACGAGGACAAACAGTTTAAAATTACTTAAAGATTCTACGCTACATTCTCTGTCAGTATCTGGAGGGATAATTATCCCTCCAGGGTCCATAATTATCACTCCAAAATGCCAGTTTATTATGAATTCACTTATTATAAATTCACGAACTTTGAAAATAAGGCTATTATTGAGCACATGTTAATTAAATCTAGCCCAAGTACTTTCGCTTAAAATAGCATCTTCAGGGCATTTCGTCAAAATGTAAACTATCTGGCAAGCGTAGAATGTGGAAACATTAATAGTGACATAAAATTGTACAAAACACTACACTAAAACAAGGACAAACAGTTTAAAATTACTTAAAGATTCTACGCTACATTCTCTGTCAGTATCTAGAGAGATAATAATCTAAGTAATTTTAAACTGTTTGTCCTCGTTTTAGTGTAGTGTTTTGTACAATTTTATGTCACTATAATTGTTTCCATATTCTACGCTTGCCGGATAGTTTACATTTTGACGAAATGCCCTGGCATTTTGGAGTGATAATTATGGACCCTGGAGGGATAATTATCCCTCCAGATACTGACAGAGAATGTAGCGTAGAATCTTTGAGTAATTTGAAACTGTTTGTCCTCGTTTTAGTGTAGTGTTTTGTACAATTTTATGTCATTATTAATGTTTCCACATTCTACGCTTGCCGGATAGTTTACATTTTGACGAAATGCCCCTGAAGATGCTATTTTAAGCGAAAGTACTTGGGCTAGATTTAATTAACTTGTGCTCGATAATAGCCTTATTTTCAAAGTTCGTGAATGCATAATAAGTGTGAAGAATACCTGAGTCGTTCTCAATATGGTTTAGAAAGGGTACATATACTAAAGAAGCAATTATGGGATTGACACTGATTGCAGAAAGGTATCTTGAGGTTCAAAAAGGGATGTATGTGTGCTTTGTCGATTATAAAAAGGCCTTCGACCGCATCAAACACGAAAAATTGATTGAGGTGCTAAAAGAATTAGGGTTGGACGGACATGACATAGCTATCATAAGTAATACATACTAGAACCACACAGCATGCGAGAAACAGAGAACGGAAACACCAAGTACATCAACATAGAACGAGGAGTGCGTTGAGGGTGCATTTGGTCCCCCCTATTATTTATTGTATATGCCGAACATATAATTAGAGCTTCTTTGGAAGATCGTCCGGAAGGTGCCAGAGTCAATTGAATCATCATTAACAATATAAGATATGCCAATGACACCGTAGTATTAGCAGAAACAGAAGACTAACTCAAAATATTGATAAACATATTACCAGAAGAAAGTGGCAGGCTGGGCTTAGACATTAACATTTCCAAAACCAAAATTCTGGTAATCCACAATAATCCCCATGAACAAGTTGATGACGTCAACAAATTAAATTCATTTGAAATGTCGATGTACCGCCGAATGTTGAGAATAAGGTGGACCAGCAGAACTATGAATAAAGAAGTACCGAGAGTAATGAACACACTCACTTATCTGGTCAATGCTTTTAAAATTAGAAAGACGTCATATCTAGGACACATATTGCGCCATAGAGAATTTGAGCAGCTCCAGATAATATTAGAAGGAAAGATTAAAGTTAGAATGGGCATAGAATGAAAGAAAAAATCTTGACTACGAAACATCAGAGATTCGACCCACACAAGAGGAAATGAATTAATTTATCAAGCCAGAACAGTGAGAAATTTGCCATATTGATCTTGACAAGATGACTTTTTATAACTTAAAATTGTTGTCTTTTTTCAGGACTGTATTAGAATTTATTGTTTAACAGAACTACTTCCCTTCCCAGCAGATGTTACAAAATAAAGACAAGATTAATTTGTACCTTTTAATTTGTTAATAGTTTAACAAAAAAATTAACCATAAAATGTTTGTTAATGTGTGAAAATGTGATGGGGAAGGAAAAGTATTGATAAATGTTAAAAATGGTCTATGTTAATAGATAAAAAATTTGTATTGATAAATGTTAAAAAAATTGTCTGTGTTAATAAATAAAAAAAATCTGTGTTTCCCAAAATTGTTATAATAATCTCATTGATTGCTTATATTTATTTGAGTTTCTGAAAAGCTAAAATTTATTTTTTAAAGATAGTTTTAAAATTATTTTTGATGCAGATGCAAAAACGTTCTTGGGCTTATATAACTTTTTATTCCCTTTTCCAATATTTTTCTATCCGATTCTTGCGCAATACTGAATAAAAGGTTGATTGCTAAATTATTCTAACTATATTTTTAAGTCATATGAAAGTTTTTTAATACAGTTATTGTATAATATACTTTTAAGGCCACTAAATATTCTTCTTATGGTATTTATTGTCACTAATTTTCATACTAATTATTAACTTAGTACATATTTGGCTTTCTCCCCTCTCCTTCCGTCTTAATCGTCCTCTACAGAAATTGATTTTCATTTTTTAGCAATGCCGTGACTATCGTTAGTATAATGCCAATTATTACTACTAAAAAGTGTTTTATGCAAAAATACCTTACCTGGTGTTCCCTGTACATACGCTGCTATGGCAAAAAGTAACAAAACCCCTCTACTTAACATTTTGACAAAAATTGGTGTTACTAAATTATTTTTTTCTATATTATATTAATTTATATTTCGAGGTTATCTTTTAGGTAACAGTTATCTCTTGTTGTTTAAAATACTAGTCCAAATTGACCCCTGTTATCCACATATTCGTAAACTCATTATAAATTTTAACAAAAATTGATTTCAAATTGGATTTTTACGTAATTTTTTTATCGGTAGTTTTTATTATCTAATTATTTGTGCTTTTGGGGATTTGATAAGAAATAGCTAATACCAAAAACTGATATTAAAATGTGTATTTTGTAGTGAAACTCAGCTATTAAAATATTCAGTTTCGTATTTTTTTGTCTTATTAATTGTATGAAAATTATAAAGCATAATCATATTAATAATAATCACAAGTTTTGTATTATATGAAAAAAATATTAGGCTGCTAATTCATACCACTTCCTCTTAGCAATATTTTTTCTTAAATTATAATATGAAACGAGCTGTTTTAACTCATGGTATGACAATCTAGTCCTTCGTGATATGTAACATAAAGTACAGCGACGACGCTTTGTTTGAGCTACATCTTCTGCAGCCACTAGTCCACCTTCTTTATCGGGCTCTTCCGTTGGTCTTAATTTGCTGAGCGCTTCAGAAAGAGAACGTGGTATACATTGTGTCACAAAAAGGCGACGCCGCATATTCTCCCGTCCATTTCCGATTAAAACCACTTAAGCATTAATGCCTGCAACTTTCAGCATGGTAAAACAGACTACCATGAGCCAACGACGTGTGTTTCAAGCAACGTTGTAGAAAGCGCGAAGCTTATCGGAAACGTCGACACCTGACTTGGTTTTATTATAATGATCATGTCTGGTTTCATAGCTTGTCCTGATGTCTAATCTATAGAATTGTCGTAATGCTGAGAAGATATAACAACAACATTTCGAGTAACAAGTTGCACATCTGTAAACCAATTATCTGCCGTTATATTGCACCCGTTTCATAAATAGGTTGTGTCAATCTTCTAATGACATCAGATAGTTTATTATTTTGTTCATGGCCTCAAGAGTTGCTTTTTAGTATATATTTTCAGGCTATACTTATAAAGAGTAGCTGCATCACACAAATCATAAATTTGTACTCCTTATATGGATGGCTTTGAAGGTATATATTGTTTGAACTTGCAACGTCCACTAAAAGTCATCAGTTTCTGGCCTATAGTCACACACTGTCCTAGTAAATAGCTATGTTTAAAATTATGAAAAAAATTTTCAAACAGTTAAAAAATCTGCGCAACGTTGTCAACAGCTTTCTTTTCAGGCCTTGTGATGCAGTCATCAAAACACAGGCATCTCATAAGAACCTTAAACCTTTTAAGACTCATAACCAGTCGAAATATTTCCACGCCGTGTCCATCTATACCCCAGAGATCCGCTAACATATAAAAGGTCTGATCTCAGTCTGTCATGTCCGTGTCAGTTGCATCACTTTGTCGGTCAAAGCGATCTCTTAGTTCAAGATAAATGTACTGGTTTGTGACTTAACTATTTTTTGTGGACTTTTATTAGAAAATCTCTGACCCCAATATTATATATTATACAACTTAGCTAGTCGTTCTTCATGTATTACTCCTGGGAAACGTGTAACCAGGTTATGTCAATCAATGCGTCGCTTCTTCTTTATCTTTTCCAAAGTTAAATAAATGGTCGTGTCAATCTGGTTCTTCCCCTCTCCCACTCTCTTCTCAGTAAAATTAGTAACAGAGTCACCAACTCATTTATCCGTTGGTTGATCTTCCGGATCTGTGTCCGGTTCATCCTCTAAATCTTGGTTAGGAGCATCTCGATTTTCTCCTCTTTTAAATAAATTTTTGAAAGTTTTCTACATCATTACCCTTACATACTACATTATTACAACCATAGCCTTCTGGTTGCCGAAGATCAAATAATTTTGGCAGAAGACAAAGACGAGAAGGTCTGCATAATAGAAAGTTCGAAGATGAATTTGGAAGCTGGTAATTGGAAATTATTTATCATAACACGCAATATATTTTTACAAGAGAGTTGGGTGAAGATACAAGTATGAAAAACAGAATAGATGCCATGATAGAATGTCGAATGTCTTGGAGAAGAAGCTTCAGATTATCACTAATATACAATATTAGAAATAAAAGAATTAGAGAATCGTTGTATGTGAAGGATATACTAAATAGAGAAACAAAAATCAAAAATTGCTCTTGTGTGTGGACAATATACGAAGGATATTCCAGACAAGAATACCGCTGAAAACTTGGAAATAGAAGTCAAATAAAAGAACTAAAAGGAGACGTTCCAGATAACGAGAAATGGGCAAATAAAAGCAGCAATGGAAAAAAGAGACCTCACTAAAAAAGGTATACATAAAATGAAGAAATAGAGAATAGGATACGATAAACTCCGACCAGAATATACTGCCTAAAGTCACTTATAAGTAATGTGATGAGAGAACCAAATATAGCTTCTGCAAGTTATCATTTAGGGAAAGATTCTAGGAAAATGTAGCGTTGGAGCAGAACGAATGCCTTTGTTCTGTAAGTTTAAGAAAATTGTGTAAGTGTTCTCTATAATATCAACTTTTTATAGCAGCTGAACTAAAATACAAATAATCATAATGATCTCTAACCTTCAGAAAAAGACTTTAACATAACAGGAAAAAGAGCAAACTGTAGTTTTGTTTTAACTTTCTTATTTTAGTTAACGTGATTTTATTTCTAATTGTTTAATTAACTAATGCGAAATATTTTCATTCACGTTTGTTGTAGCCTATAATTGACCATTAAACCTAAAACAGAAAAATAGCTTGTATGTGATATGATTTTTTTCTTCTTCTTTTCTTTTTTTTCCTTTTATATAGACATGACTCTGTCTGTTGTTCAATGTGCCTCCAGTAAGTTGTCATTCCATTGTTTTTGTGGTCTTCCTACTTATTGTCTTCCTATTGGAGAACCGTGATTTGCCGTTCTTACTACTCTATTTGTTGTCATTCAGCTTATATGATCGTTCCATTCTAGTTTTTTATTTCTTACGCAGTTTTTGATGTTTTCCACCTCGCATCTACATCGTATATCGGTACATCTAGGTCTGTAGTGTCTTACTATCAATTTTTCTAAGTGTTTTCATTTCTGCTATTTCCCACATCCTTTTTATTCTCTCTGTTTCAGGTCTTGTTTCTGCCGCGGATGTCATTATTGGTCTGATGACTGTTTTGTAAATTCTGCCTTTCGTTTCTTTCCCAATATTTTCATTTAGGCAGTTTGTGACTGTGTTTGCTCTATTTACTTGATCTTCCACTTCGGTCTTGAGCTTTCTGTAGCTAGATAATATTATGCCTAGATATTTAAACTCCATCACTTGTTCTATTATATGACCTTTCAGCTCCAATTTACATGTTAACGTGTTAAATTTTCTGTCGGCTGAATTAAATTGGTGCAGCATGCATTTTAAATTATCTTAACTTTGAAAGAGTAGTGCTACCCTTAATTCATTTCTAAATCCATATATCTATTTCTTTTATATATTTTCATTTTTACCTTCTCTCCTGAATGCAAGCAATTCATTCAGTAACTCATTTTCTATTAAATGCGTCTACCAGCATATTCTCTTACCTGTAACTTCTAAGATTCCAGGATCCTACTTATTTTGTGTTTACTGTTGAAGTATTTTACCTCAAAAGATGTCATTTCTATCTAATTTTTGATGTAGTTAGAGAAGATCTTAGGGTAGCGGGTGTGTACTTTTCACGATCCCGGTGGAAACAGACCAACTTCAGGGACTAGCGACCCTGCCCATGCTAGCTTATGATATTCCACCATCCCACACCGTGGAATCTCATGTCTTATAACCTTTATCTTACATCCTCCATAGTTATTCCTCCTAGTCCTTAACGCTGGTGAAGGGCAGCAGCGATCACCAGTACCAACGCAAGGCGCAAAAGAAATTATCTTGGACCGCCTTGTTATTGGAATTCCACAGGCATGACTAGGACAGTTTGAATGGCTGTGAATACTACATTTTCCCCAGGATAACTTATTTTATTATGGCAGAACAAAAACAAAACAATGGCCCTCAGTCCTGGGCAGGCCTTAGATGATCAGAGGTTGCGAATAATCTCCCGGTGCCAAATAGATAAAATCCAAAGAATTTCCACATGAAATGTTAATAGTCTTTACGAACCAGAAAAATTACACAACCTTATAAAGGAAATGAATCGGCTGAAAATAAATGGGAGTCAGTGAAGTCTGATGGACTGGATCTGGACAGTTTACGAAAGATAAGATTACTATGTATTACTCGTGTAGTGACCCAACAGATAGACATCACCGACATGGAGTGGCTATTGCTCTTGACAGGAAGACCAGTATATTGGTGACAGATTTTGTTCCAATTTCCAAACGAATCATGTTGATCAAAAAGGACAGGCAAACAAGAAAACATAAATGTGACAAAAGCATATGCACCAACAGCAGATAAGTCAGAAGAAGAAATAACTAAGTTCTATAAAGATCTGGAAAAAGCAATAAGACTAACAAAGAAAGAGGACATAAACATAATAATGGGCGACTTTAACGCCAAAGTGGGTAAAGGAAGATATGAAGACATAATTGGAGAGTACGGCCTTAAAGTTAGAAATGAAAGAGGCAACCAATGACCAATCGGATCCACAACACGAGATAAAAACCTGAGTACAAATGGCAAGACAAACTTTTGTGAAATTCAGACCGCTCCTATGTAATTAACACCTAAATTTCGAAATACGCTACAGAATGGTCAAGTGCTACATATGGGCCATCTTGCTTTATGACATGGAAACATTGAAACATTGGAAATTTGAAAAAAAAAACATCTATCAACAAACTTGAAGCATTTGAAATGTGGTCATTGAGAAGAATGATGCGCATACCTTGGGTGGATAGAGTTCGAAACGATGACGTCCTTAAGAGAGCCGGCGTGGAAAGAGAACTTGAATTAATTAAAAAACGCAAGATTGGTTACCTTGGGCACATATTGAG